GTCGAGCATCAAAAACACATGCGACTGAGACCTGGCGCTCCAAGTTCGCACTTAAAAATTAGCTGAAAACAGAATTTTCGAAAAAAAATTATGAGAACTACCTCATAGGCCAGATTTCAAGGCAGTGAACCCAAACCCACTGATAGAACTTTCCAACTTTAGTTAGAGCTTTCTAGTGAGAAAAACGCAATTGCTTATGGCAAAACCCAGTATTCGACTTCACTTTTTATAGCCTGATCTATTTCTGTTACAGAATCATTCACGTCTTACAAACACCTGTGCGATGTCCAAATCGTAGACGAAATCCCAAGGACACCATCCGGGAAAATTCTGCGCCATGAACTCGTCAGCAACAAATAATCAGCATTTCCTATGAAATATTAAACTTTAACATCACACCGTCTGATTTTTTCCACCTGTTGTATGTGTTGATATGATGTATTTTTCGTATTGCAGCTGTATATTGACCAATTGTTATTTTGCCCCACGAGCTGAACATTAGTCGTGAAAACTTGTCAATAAAAATATGCCCAAGAGTTCTGATAGCATATTAAAACGTATGAGCTCAGTTTGTGTGCAGCACAGGGCATGTACTGCAGCTGGAGAAATTTTCGGGGAATACAATTCCCCCAAATTCGTTCCTCTGATGGGCCCCTCTCCCTCAGAATTATCCCAGCGACGTGAATAGTGCCGTGAACAAAAGGAAGATCAGCTTTCAAAAAATCTTTCTCTAACCAAGTACGACCCTCGCGCTTTGGATTTCCCGACGTCCGACGTGCCCTGGAAGCTATTTCAGCCACCGCCAGCGAGTTCCAAAAAGGGACGCTAAAAAAGCAAAAACTGCAGTCATGTCGCTGCAGATGCTGAGTCGTGTCAGAATGAGGCCGGGTTTGACGCCCCCAACCCCTTTGCTCCACCAATCGTCACAGCGGGCAAGCGACAGCAATTAATGAAGGACGAGCTGGCGCCACGTCAAACCCACCCCCCCCCCCTGACACGCCCAGGATCCGCGGTGAACAAGGCTATAAATGTCTAACCTCTCTATATCACATCAGAAAAGGTGCAACTCTTGTTCTTTCCTGGGTTTCCACTCGGTTTCTCAAAAACAAACCACGCCATGACATATGTATGGACATATTGTCGATAGCTGCAATTTCATTCACACACCCTGTAATCACTGCGCGGCTCCTCAGGAGAAGAAAGCAAATGAAAATCCATGGAGATTACTCAAAAGAACCCCGGCAGCCCCACTGTACGAGCTCTTCAGACCTGCTCGTTTTGTGCCAGCAATGCGATATAGAGCCGCCTTTGGCCCACTTATTGTTTCTTCGCGCCATTCAGTGCTAATAGTTTAGCGCCAATACCATCTAGCAGTGTAGGAAAAAAGAAAAACGCCACGCAGAATCTAAAGTCGTGGCAGGAAATAGCCCTTGAGTTTCTGCGGGGGAGGGGCAACCAGGGAGGCAGCGGAACTGGAACTTAAGAGAGCTAGAGCACCTTCGTCACTAACTGTAGAGCAGCGAAAGAGGGAGAATTTCAGAGACCGAAAGCTACATGTACAAGGAAGTACATACGCCTAGGAACCGGTTGAATGCGGGGACTGTCTTTAGAGAATGAAACCCATCTGAGGTAACTACCACAATTTATTGGTCGTCCCATTAACTGTACGCATAGACACGATATCACTTACAAAGCCCCCCGCAG